GCAGGTGGGTCTGTCCTGAAGGACGCGGCAGCGGAGGGGACTCGCGGTGGAGCAGGGGAAAGCGTGAGGAGGAAGGAGCCGCAGAGGAGCCATTGGGTGCTGGGAGTAACCCCCTGTTCCCCATCCCTCCACGCCACGGGGGGAGAGGAGGCCGAGGAGTTGGGAGTGAAGGAGTGAAGCTGAGCCTGGGGACGAGCGGGGAGGAGGGAAGGTGTGGTTTTAATTTTGTCTTTTTCTTACCATCCAAATCTATTTTAATTGGCAATAAATTAATTTTCCCCAAGTCAAATCTGCTTTGCCGTGACGGTAATTGGTAAGTGATCTCCCTGTCTTTATCTTGACCCAGGAGCTTTTTCATCTGATTTTCTCCACCCGTCCTGTGGAGGCGGGGGAGTGAGGAGAGGGGCTGGGTGGGCGGCTGGGTGCAGCCCAAGGTCAACCCACCACTGTTGATTTGTCAAATAGCGTCACACATCTCATATCCTGTGCCTTATTCTGAATTTTGGACGTTTGAGGTTTTTTTGCTCTTGGTTTATCTTTAATTTAACCTTTCTCATCCATATTCATCATAAAATGAAGTTGCATTCAAATTCTCTAACCAGCAACAGTTGTTCTTCCCTGTGGTGGTTCTACGCTGGGATTCAATCCCAGTGAATGCCCGGAAAGGAAGGATCTCCAAAAGGTCTGTCTTCAAGTTGTCATGTCTGGAATTAGATGCAAAATTTGCTGAAGAGGATTTTTGTGTAACTTCCCAGGAGTGTTGTTAGGCCATCCAGTATGGGATTCTGTGTTTTAAGACCACTTATAGATGTTACATAGTCAGGAAAAGCTTAGATATTGACCAGGCTGTGAGAGAGTTTGGGATTATTTTTTTCCCTTTAAAAACAATGACCAAGCACAAGTCTATACAGTAAGCAAAGTGCTTTGTTTTCAGTAAAGCGCTATTATATTTGATCTTCTGTAGTCTGTATCCCTGTCTGTATCCATTTCTGAAAATGTAATGCAGTTTTAAAAGATCCAATAGAAATGAAAAGTAAAATCAAAATAGCGAAAGCGTGCAGGTAAGTGAAAAGTCTACAGCATCAGTAACTCAAGGAACAGGTAGGGAATACAGGAAGGTTCCCTGCAAAAAAAAAAACCCGGCACATGGAAATATGTTGTTCAGAGATGTCAAAACCTGAAAGTTTACTTAGCAATTACAAGTTTGTGGTGAAGACCTCTTAATTGTAGAGCTGGTTGTTACATCGCTCATATTTTTTCCAGTATTTTGTGCAAAGTGAATCTACCAGACTCAGAAGGAACTTGAGGCAAAGTCTCAAACTTTGTACATTAGAAACATTTTTGTCTTTATGCCAGCCTTCCTAAATATTTCAAATCTTCAATGTAAAGAGAAACAGGATTATTGACAGCTACTGTTTATTAAAAGTTTTCATATTCCCTAGTTATACTGGTAGTGCAGCACATGCACTGTATCACAATCCTGGTAGTTCATAAGAAATGTTATAATTTTTTTTTTTTTGTTATGCAACACTTTTGCAGTAGGCTGTGAAGCTGAATATTCTGTAAACAACCAATTCTAAGCATAAAGATGTACTGGATATCTTAAAGCACTTTGCCAGCAGCAAAGCCTTTAGAGATTCTGGGTTACAATGAGGAGGATAACACAGTCTCTACTGCTACTGCCTAATTTGTAGAACTAGGTGTGCGTTTTGTGCATTTGATTTGAGTGATCACAAAATGTTGATTTCCAAAGTGTTTTGTTTATCTGCTACCTTCCCAATTAGCATAGTCAAAATCTCTTCATCCCCCTAAAAGTGCATATTTGTAAGATTTGTCTATGAATTGGTCACACAAATGTAAAGCATATCTGAAAGTTTTTTCCCCTTAGATTGGGAGACATTTCTTCCCAAGATCTGTAGACAAGCCGATAACATAAAGATGTTTGAAGTCTATGTTCCAAAGTGGATACTTATAATTGTGTTTTTTCTTTCTTTCTTCCCCCTCTCTCCCCAGTGGATTTTGATGACTGCAAGGGGAATAACAAATTGAACTTCGAAGTTTCTAACCCAGACTTCAAGGTGGAACGCGACGGGTCTTTAGTTGCGCTAAAGAATATATCAGAAGCTGGCAGAGCCTTGTTTGTCCACGCACGGTCTGAGCATGCAGAGGATATGGCAGAAATTTTGATTGTTGGAGCAAATGAAAAACATGGTGCATTAAAGGTAAGATAAATACAAAGAACTAGAAGAAAGTGCCAAGGAGATGCTGCTAGGTATTTACGTGTGCCATCTAGGACTGTAAGCAGTTTTAATCTGTTAGCAGAGAGATCAAAATGAGTCTTCAATCCAGATATTGCTGTAATGTATTAGCACTTAGTTTAACTTAAAATACAAATTTTCAAGGTTTTGAAAAATTTATTACATCTTCAAGTGTAAATGCTAAACACTCGTACAGAATTGATTCAAATGAAAGAGCCTCAGTATCAAAATTGGTGGATTCTTCTGGTGTACATTATGCTGGATAACCACAGTGTGACCATAACGGGAAATGGAAAATCTTAGTCCAAATGTGTAATTTAGAATTTACAGAACCTTCACGTTCACTCCAAATCTAAGACTGTGGGAATGAATTCTATGCTGTGGAATTTAAACTTTTCATATAGGTCTGCTTATCTGATATTGTGACGTGTTAAACTATGTAAAAATCTGCATACAAATAGCAACACATATTTACTCTCTCTCTCTATGTGCCTAGTGATTTCTGTTCCACTCCGTGGAACTGAACGCCGGGTCCTTTCTTTTCCACTTTTGAATTTCAGTGTAACACTAACCTCATACCATGGGGGAAAAAGTGCTTCACAAATTGATTGCATTGTTTACTTCACACCCTTGAAAGTAACGAAAGGAAATGAAATAGCCTTCACTTCTGTGTCGTGGCATTTAGGAGAGAGGCAGGCCAAGACAGTGTCTCAGTAGACGTTTAAGCCTGGCAGCTTTATGGAAGTATAAAGACACCATGACAAAAAGGACGATGTATTGTCTTATTTTAGTATTTAGATTTTCACCCACCAGCGTTCTTATATTTCCAACAATACCTTAGTATAACTTAAGTCTTACATTTAAAAAAAAAAAAAAAAAGCTTTAGGGGAAAGGTTGAACGAACTTCTGAAAGTCCGTGGCTGAGAAAAGGTTTTGATCTGCACTTTAAGCAGCATGCAATGGGAATATAGATTGCCAGTGGGAGAGAAGGTACCAGAATGTGTAACTGTAGAGAGCTGATCAGAACACTTAAATGGAATTTAATTTTATTTAAATGTGCTGTTTCTTCACAAAGTTAGATTTTAACAAGGTCATACTTGAGAGAGTCTTTTATGTGGTAGAGCTGTGGGTTTAGGACCACTCACTGCCAAGTTCAGAGTAGGAAAACTGCACTTGCAGGAGCTGGGCATGTGGCTGTCCTGTGTCTCAAACTAGCAAGGCATGTTACTTCTGGTGCATTCAGAAGAATGTTCAAGTGATTTTGCTTTCACTCCATGTTTTGAAATCTTAGGAGTGTTTTCAAAATGGGGATTCTCATCCTTCAGTTAGAATTTACTGAAAGGAGTTTGAGACATCTCTGACAGGAGGTCTAGAGCTGAACTTCAGGGGATTGTTTTACATGTGAAGATCTGTCTGAGAATCATATTCTGCAATTTTATTCTGGTTTTCTTAGAGAAGCAGCCCTTCAATATCAACGTGGAAGTTACGATCTAGGGGAAATCTTGTTTCTTGAGTAGGAATTAACAGATGTGTATTTGCACAGACTGACATAGCTTTGGCCATGACCTTTTCTCTTTATGTCCTATTTGGGTTCTGGGTAGTCTCCCCTCAAAATATTCCTGCAATATTAATTAATGTCTAGTGTTGAAATCTATTACCAGACTACATTCAAAAGCCAAGTCTAATTTGGCCTCACTCCTGGATTCTGTTTCAACCACTGTGTTGCTTCAGAGAGAGAAAACCAGTCTAAATCTGGCATATTCTGCCACTTGCCAGTCTTCCCTCATAGTTGACTCCTCAAAGCAGTATCACAGTATCATCTCTACCTGCCTTCATCACTTCTTTATGGATTTTGATATTCAGCTCATAAATAGAAGACTACCTTTTTAGTATGGTGATCCTTGGTGTCTGCAGTGCCACTGGGAGTTACATGATATATTAATGTGTTCTGGCAAATCCATCTAGTAAGGATCATCCCCTTCTTCAAGGGAGTATAAAGATCTTTGGGATTGGCTGTCCTATCTGGCCTCAGCCAGCTCTCTGTAGCTGTTAAATCAGTATTTTTTACCAATCGTTTCAGCTATTGTTTGCTTATTTCAAATACAACACAGTCTTGTCTTTCTGTTTGTCGTTCTTGAGAAGGATATAAAGATTACAGCCTACTATCTAAAGTGATTTTATGATAAATTTGCACTTAATCCTGTACTTTTGCAGTCTGAATGTGTCAGCATGGAAGCAGCAGAACTGCTCCATCTGTTTATGCAAGGAGTCTTGGCTAAGAAATGTTCAGATGGAGCCTTAGTAATTCAGCATAATTCTGTAGGGTTAAGACGAGCACATGCTAGAGCACTGCTTAACATTCAGCACTTAGAGTACAGTACCTTGTTTAATTAGGGGATAAGTAGTTCTTAAGTATTTCCCCACTGCCAGCAACTGCCATTTCTTTTCTGAAAGCATGTAACCTACATCTGTGAAATCCCATTGTTAATGTTTCTAATTGCAGATTCCCAGTGTCTTTGGAAATGACTGACAACAATGATCTCTAATGTGCTGACTGGCAGTCTGAGCCTAGGAAGAGATAGCATAATTCCTAAAACTTTCTGACTGCTACCAACCATACTTTAGACGAATACTGAAAATATTTAGAGGTGCAATCTGGAGTGTGCAGAAAAGCTGTTGGTATTCTAGTAGTTGGAGGGGTGTGGGTTCTTCCCTGTTGAAGATGTGGGAAGATTCCAGCTGGCGTCACTGATCAGTCCTAACCAATTAACTTAAACTAACTTCATGGCCATACTATAGTCAGTGGCTGTTAGAATACCACCTACTATTTAACTCTGCTTTTTGAGTCTTCTGCCAGAAACATATTAGATCTGCAGAGCCTGCAGCTTTCTATCAAAGGGTGGCTGTACCCGCAATGTGAGAAGATAGAGTGTTTCTCAGCATCAGCAGCCAGTTGGTTGTCACTCTCTAATGGCAGAGTCTTTTGCAGGGTCTAGTGACAGCAGAGCAGATACAGCACTGCTGTTTTTGCAGGTGTTGGGATGTTTCTGCAAAAAACCCTAAACCCCATGAATGCCTATACCTACAGATATGCATACGTGCCACTGAGAGTAAAAATCTGTACATCAGATTACAGTTACATTGCTTTCTACAACCTGCTGTTAATGCCTGTTTTTTCCTCCTATGGTTTTGGCTAAATAAGTTGGTTTCTGTCTGTCTTGACAGAGGGGAGTATTCACAAAAAAAGCTCCTGTCTTTTTTGAGAGACGTAGAATATGAGTGTGCAGAAGAGTTGCCATGGGTCTATGGAAGATGTAACATTACAATGTGTCATCTTTGTAATCGTTACGTCTATATACACACTTGTGGCCTCAGAGCAAAGTGCTCAATGAAAGAAAAGTTCACTTGCATTCACCGTGAGGCATGCACATCTGTGCTCAGCTTTACCCAATGTTTGCTTAATACCCTTTCACACAGTCAGGACTTGAGTGCTTGGTGGTATTAAAAAGAGACATGGAAATGTTTAGATTCACCCAGGATTCCTCAAATGAACTTTGGGTTCATTCTGAATAATTCATAGAATTGCTAAGGTTCATATGCCTAATGGAAAAATAAATCACTTGCAAACCCTAGCTGGGAACAAACTGACCAAGCTGATGAGTGGCAATATTTATTTTTTTTTTAATTTATGTCTTATCCAATGCCTGGTCCCTGCTTTGTTTTATGGAAATAGTAGGACAATTGAAAGTTGGAAATTTCATCACATCTGAGCATTTTACCAGACATTACTGGATTTATTTAGAGGGTCTGGTTTTGTGGAAGAAAGTATAGCCAATCTTTTGTGAAGTCTCATAACAGATTGTGAGTTGCAAAATGCAGCAAGCTGGGAATTTGTGTCCTCCAAGGCTAAATAAAATGGTTGTCTGCTAGTCCTTCTCTCCCTCTGTAATCTAATGCTGGTTTTAATGAATATACCCTTAGTACACTGAGAGCTAAAAGAAAACCTTGGGAAACAATCTTTCTCTGCCTTTTTTGTGTGTTGGCAAAATGCAGCCTTTTTTTTTTTTTTTTTTTTTTTCTTGCAGCAAAGGGAGTTATTTAGGACATTCATTTGTTACAGCATCACAGACACAGGGGGAGGGGGAGTGAGATATCAAGAGTCTGGCACTAAAGCAGATAAGAGGGCAGACAGATATTCCGAAATTCCAGGCTGGTAGTAACTTCACTATATGGTGCCCAGCAGTCTTCCATACAGAAGGATGAAATGATTAAACAGAAACTGTCAAACCCTCAGGACACTTTTCAGGCACTAGATGGAAAAGGAAAAGGAGAAAGAAAAGAAGAGATAAGAGGGAGGAGTGCACCCTGAGACAGCATGTTGTAGACAAAGAGAGTTTAAAATCATTTCCAGCAGTAGTTCATGTTGAAGGAAATGAAGTTGCTCTGGTCCTGCTACTCTGTCCAGTCAACTTGATAACAGCTAGGGGATAGTCACATCTGCTGCTTCTGCTTTTCCCTTTGTCAAACCATTGCAATTCCCAACGTCATGTTTGTTATGTTTGTTGTAGCGGGGACAGGAGAGGCAGCCTGTCCGAAAACTTCCCCAGCTGCATTGCAGACCTGAGGTCTGTTTCCTGCTAAGTCACTTTCTGGATGTATATGTTTGTGCATGTTGCTTTACGCATCTGCCTCTGTTTCCTAAAGTATCAAACAGAAATAATGAAACTAAGCTCCTTGGATTTCAACGTTAGCATTTCTTGTTTGTGTCTTACTCTCTGCTTTATTCCTGCAGTATAGAGCTTGCAAATTTTATTGATATGAGATAAAAAGTGCCTAGAGCCTTAAATCCTACATGTATGGCTTTCTGCCTTAGAACAGATGATAAAGGATCAATAATGTTATTATGAATCAGGATTCTCTCACAGAGAAAATATACACACAAGCAAGTGAATAGTTGAGTTTAG